ACGTGAACAGCCCGATCAAGTCAGAGCAAAAACTCGGAAACAGCTCTATCGACATGTTGTCCAAACATCATGAGAAGCTTGCAGAGGGTGACGTACGCATGCGTAGATCTGCACTCTACTAAAACCCTGCAATACATTTAACATATCAAGTAATCTCTAGGCTTCTCAACAACATGCAGCACCCCATACTAATACCCTCCTTGGAAATATTGGACTACATCATTTATTTCCGAAATTAAATTCTCAGCATGCATGAGATCAGCTTCTCATTTTAAAAGATTAGATTTTAAGATGAGCATCCTGCACAGGTTTACAGATTCTCATGTTGATCTAATTGACAACATCAGGACATTGAGTGCGAGGCAATCACAGCACGCAGGGAAAGACGATGTTATGATCTTGATAATGTGAATCCAAATGAAATTCAGGAGTCTGTCAAATAACAAATTGGATGCTGCAGTTTATCCATTAAATAGTGTTTCCCTGGTTTACTTTAAAGAGATCTGCTCTGGCTCATTAGATTGGCAAATGGCATTTGAGACATAGTGTGAATGAGGCACGCATCATTAGAAATCCCTAATGCTGTACCTATTTCCTGGTATTGATCTTGAAAAAGCCTTATGTTAAAGCAGCCTGTCTCTAACTGCTTAAAGGAGAAAGATCCAAAAAGACAGAGCCATTACTTTTCTACTGTCTGAAGAAGTTGACTTCAAAAGGGTGAAAACCTCTGGTGAGTCTGAGGCTTGGGAAAGCGGAGCAGGGCAGGTGGAGCTGGAAGGAGAGGGGGATGCACTCAGATATAGGAGATAGAGGAGTGGAGAGGGGAAGCCCTTTGATCTCTGGCAAGTGAGCGCAGAAGAAAAGAGAGGGAGAGCTGCAAAGAAGATTGCAAACAAGGCATGCACTCAATTACCAATAGTGGCACGAACGAGAGAGGAAGAGACAGACGCAGGGAGAAGAAGGAGAAAGAAAAGTCAAGTAGATTGAGTGAGACAAAGATGGAGAGAGGATGACAGGGTCAGAGAGAAAGAGAGAGAGGGGAAAAGGAGAAAAGAAAGAGAATACAAAATGAAGTAGAGAGAATCAGATAAGACCAGGATGTTAAAAGGATTTCAGTCCGGGGGCTGTTTGGGGATTTCTCTCAAGCCCTATGCTAAAGCAATTAGCATTGAACCCGCTTCTAGGAAAGTGCAGCCAAACCACAGCAGCAGTCTCTAACATAGTTAGTGTGTAACAACCAAGTCAAGCAGACCCCACAGTCCCCATTAAACCTCAAGTCTTAATTGGCATGTCAGGACGGTGCTGCGTTTCACAACCCATGAGTGTGCGCTCTCTAAAAAAAGTTGGCCAAGTGAGTGTGCACATCCCACTTCAAGTGGAAACCCCCAGACAGTAAACAGAGCCACTGCGCTTGATCGAAAAGGCCTGTGCAGTGTGATAACAAAAGCTCAGCGTTAAATGTGAAATGGATAGTTCAAACAGCTGGTGCTAATATGGCCGCTCTGTGGTGGAGACGTTGTGTACCCCTTTGTTGTCAGGGAGTTTCCTTGATCCCAAAGTTTACAGCCCTTACTTCAAATTCAAGTTTGGTTTAAAGTGAGCCAATGTAACGCTTGCTGAACTGTAGAAATTACGACATAGTGGTAAATGCTAAATGTTACCAGTGGCAAAGTAAGAAAAGGAGAGAAGAATAAGTCTGACTAACAGTCATAACAGATCAAGTAGGGATGTAGGAGCAAAACAGCTGGTGAATGAACTGAAATTAGCAAAGGCACTTTTCATTCGTAAGAGAGAGACGTTGTTATTTAGCACAAGTGAAAAATCTATATTAGTATTTGAAAGCCTTTTTTTTTTTTTACATTTGTAGGCCTACTAACAAATACCTTGAACTTTTGGGACTCCATTAGCTTTCTTGTGGTCAGGAGTCTTGAGCTCATTCCAGGGCTAGCCAAAAAGCGATTTTTTTATCCATAGCTCTTGTTGCTTTGTCACTCTGCCCTTGTTAACAGTCAAACATGGGGAATAAGTGCATTCACTTTCTTGCAGAGAGTTGCCTGAGGAGATTGATACTATATTATTAAGTCTGTATTGTAAATATAGCCAATCGTCAGTGGGTTAGCTAAACTTAGCTAAAAGACTGAATATGGCTAGCATATAACATTTCTAAGATTTAAAAAAAGGGTTTACAGGTGTTTTTTTTTAGCTAAGATAACTAGCTGTTAGCTTTAGCATCCTATTAACCTTGCAGAGTTGAAATTGGTGCCAATTTATTCATCTCAGGCTCGAGCTGGTGGGCCACAAGGCCACCACAGTAAGAAAAAATGACCTGTTGGCCGTGGCCCACTTGATGATCAAACAGCCCCTCTGATTAGGGGTCATAAGGTCCGAAATGCATCAATATAGGCTTCCTCTATGTCAGCTGCAGTTGTACCGACCACAGTCATCTCTACCTACCCCTTCAACTCAGCTCATGCGATTTTGGAGGTTAAGTTAAGCAAAACGAAATGAAATCAAGACAGATAGAATGGATTGAATTAAAGTACAAACAAATTGGAAAAATTGTAATGATTGAAAGAACAAAAAGAAGTTGCCAAAAAGGTGAAAGAGAAGAAATGAGAAAGTGTGCAACATGTTTTAGGTTTACACATTTAGGATACCAGTTCCACCCAAAGCCCGCTAGCTGCAGCCCTGATGACCTTAACAGTCTCCTGGCACCAAGAGGAGGAAGAAAGTGTCTGGACAGATGAGCAGGATGATACCAGCTAAAACAGGGTCAAGATGAGGAGGCCGCCCGCTGAGGACCTCCCAGCAGGAGGTAGAGACGGAGCTAGCCAGTTAGCGGCCTATCCTGCACAACTCAGAATACACACCAATGAATCGTTCATTTAACGTATCTCTTTTTGCCGTCGAGAGCTTCAATTGAGTGAACCAGTGCTATGTTGCTGTGATGTGAATGTATTTCTAAGTTAATATGATATCGCAACACAGTCTCACGGCATTTCATGTTATAGTCACGAAATGTATCTATTGATTCGTGTTCACCAAAACGATTTCCCCATTTTTTTCGTGTCACACAGAACGATTTTAAAAGCAATGTAATAATAATAATACATGAGACTTGCATAGCGCTTTTCAGGAAACTCAAAGACGCTTTGACAGAGAATTAAAAAATAAAAATACAAAAAGAGATAAACAAAACAGAAAATAGGGGAGGGGTGGGGGGTCAGTGGTTGAATACAGTGTTGAACAGGTGGGGAATCTCTGATGGATTGGGGTAGTGAGTTCCAGAGGGTGGGTGCAGCAACGGAGAAGGCTCTGCCGCCCCAGGACTTGAGGTTGGTCCAGGTGGGGAGGGACAGGAGGTTGGCAGTGGCAGAGCGGAGGGAGCGAGTGGGAGAGTGTCTGTGGAGGAGGTCAGTCAGGTAGGATGGGGCCAGGTTATGGAGGGCTTTGTATGTCATTAGGAGGATGTTACTGAATTCTCTGGGGGATGGGGAGCCAGTGGAGCTTGATGAGGAGGGGTGTAATGTGTTCACGGATTCGGGTGTGGGTGAGTAAAAAAAATGAAAAACAAATTTGAAGGAAAAAGAGATAAAAAAAAATACAGATTTCAGTATTCGGACGCAGAACGATTTTAGAAGCAATGTATTGGTAGTATGTTTCGTGCCTGCACAAAATAATAACAAATTAGAAGGAAAAAAGATTAAAGAAAATACAGATTTCAGTATTCTGAGGCTCTTTTCCCCATTTATTTTCCTCGCGGACGGCAAAAAAACTCAGACATTATACTATTTCAAATAAAAGGGTTAGGGTTAGGCTTAGGGTAAGATATTGAGTAAGAAAATGTCTTTATGAACCCCACAGCTTCCGGTCTTCCAAGACCCGACCGGACAAAAAGACGTGCTGCAGGCACGAAACATACTACAAATAGAAATTCATTGCTTTTCGTGTGACACGGAAAAAAATGTGAAAATCGTGTTGGTGTCAATAGATGAAATTAATTTTGTGACGATAACACGAAATGCCGTGAGACTGGGGGCTATCAGCATCAATTGTGTGTAGAACTGCTTTCTAACCCTGTTGAGGTGAATTGAGTTAATGTGCTGTTAGCAAGGGATTGGCTGACTTTAGTTCCCTGTTCAACCCTGTCTCTCTCAAACAAGAAAGGTAATAAGCGTAGTTCCCAAGATGTCCAACTTTTCCTTTAATAGAATTATAAGGCCTGAAGGGAACTTTGAGAAACTTTAGCTTAGCCAAGAACAAAGAAACAAGAGCTGTAGCTCAGAGCAGTCTCAGCTCTTTAAAGGAACAATTCAGTAAGGAAATGCTGATTTAATGCTGTTACACAGCTCCTGCTGACTTTTATAATATATCAGCTTCCAGCATTGTAAGCAGGTGTCATTTCTCTCTTCAGTTTTTCAGCCGTCACCTACCTCCTGCGCCATCATCCTTGAGTTCTCAGCTGACAGCATGTTAAACCTCTCCAGTTTCCCATGTTCTTTTCTCATCATCGTTGCCAAGAGCGTTGTTTGAATACTTCTCTTAGCCAGAACCAATGGCCTCCTCTGACCTCTCTCATCTGTGAGTGCTTCCCAGGGCCGCTGCTGACTGGCGTTTTGCACTCTGTGAATAACAGTCATCACCGACTGCAGTGCGCCAATATCCCAGGAGGCTGTCACTTTCTGCGACAACATGTCTGGCACAGACAACCATGCTACATCTAAAGTCACCTTAACCACCCGTCTCTGCCATTCTTACATTTAGTCAACAGCAGCTGAACATCTCATCCCTGTCTGCGTGCATTACGCTCCTGCTTTATTTCAAATATGACTCACTGTCTGGAGGAGTGAGCCGCTGACGTGAACAGGGATGCGAAGCCAAGAAAGTGGAGTCGATTTCAGGACGTCAATTATCAGTTTAGAATTGCAATAATGGGAGTGTTTTTCTCTCTGCTCTAGTGAAAATAACATTTTGTTTTTCTAAAGACACACACTGCTTACCTTGAAATATGGCAGCGTTTTGGATGATGATACGCTTGAGTTGAGCGCTGACAACCTGCAGACCAGACTCCATGTTGCTGCGTGCGGCTACCTGATACCGCTCCTCCATTTTCTTGGAACAGCATGTCGGGCCTTTGGTTTGGCAGACCTGCAGATCGGCACCTGGTAGGAAATCAGAAGGACAGGAGTGTGGATGAGTAGAGGACAGGAGCTGTGAAAAAGCCACTTTTATTTAATTCTCATGAACCAGAAGCCCTTTCTTTTTACACAAAATGATTCAGCTGCATCCCTCTGCATAATAAACACAGGAAACACTATACAGCAGATTCTGCAGCCTTAATGAGCGTGTGATTGCTCTCATTATGAGGAGGCTGTGTTATGAAGCGAGTCTGAAGCCCAAAATAAATTGCTCAAAAAAAGAAAAAAAAGAGTAATTTCAATGCACATTCACGCAACACACCCTGGCTGCGTTGTACTCCTCAGAGATCAATTTGGTCAACAGAAAAAGTTTTCCCACCACTCCAGGCTACACTTTTCACACCGAGGATCCAAAAATAAGAATCTGTTAGGCACAAAGATGTGAGCCGGGAGCAGTTCAGCGTGCAGACAAACAAATGCAGGTCTCAGCGTGCTTTCACTATGACATGAGAAAAACAGCCAGGAGTCAAATTGAGGGTGATGAAACAACATTTCTACGCCTGGCCACTGACTTTACAGGTTGTTTACACAGAGGAGAAATAATTGGATTCCCAGAGCTTCCCTTTGAAAGATGCAGTTGTAAGCCAGCGGAGGCAAAACTAAGGTGACAAGGAAAGGTAGGCTGTCTGACGCAGCTGTACATAACCAGATCAAAGAACAAACGCCCCGAAGAAATGAATTCAACTTGAAAAAATCCCAGTGAGGAGGGACACAAAGACTTAGTTAGAAATGAGTCAACGTGCCACAGCTGCTGCAACATCCAGGGTGAACGAACTGCAGTTTTCTGCGTGACAATGCACTGTCTGGAGGATGTCTTTTATAGAGAACCATTCACAATCCTCTACCATTAAAATGTCACAGCAACGCTTTTAAGAACAAAACAACTTCTAAAGTTTGAAAACAGTCAAAATAAACTAATGTGACACATTTACAAAAGATACATCTATGTTGCAGTTATCACGATTATGTGTCTAACACTTCTATTGGAAAAGAAAGGTACATTGGAATACGCTCTTTCTGTAGATTTCCAACCAATTCCCAGATCACTGCTTTAAAACGATGCACGCAGACGTAAATAGGGCACAAGCGTGTGATGTTTGAATACAAAGAGGAGCTCCTTCTCCTTCCCTTTTCTATCTCTCTCTGTCCCATGTGGTTGTTAAAAGCTTGGTGGAGGATGCAGAAGCTGTGTTGCGTTCAGGATCTTCTGCCTGAGAGGCGTCAGTGACAAGGGCCTGATTGATGGCGCGGTAAACAAATGTCAGGGGAGTCTGCCAGCGGTCGGGATGCGGAGGATGTAGAGAGGGGAGATTAATTTGGAGGGAGGGATCGAGTATGTATATTTATATATCAGAAAAGTCTTGATAACAAGCGTGTCAAAAGACAGACGAAAGGCTTTTGTCAAGACCGAGGCTTTATCTTAAATATGAAAAGTGAATCTCTCAATTGGTTTGAGGAGAACTTCAAACAAAGGGATCCTAGGAAACAAAGCTGCGAGGGTAACAATGGAAACAGCAGGAAGTCAAACTAGCAGGAGATGCAACAGAGCGACAGTGTCGATAATGAGTAAGTACCGGGGAGTCGAGCGGGGAACAGCTTCGGTTTACTTCCAGCTCGCTCCTGACTCCCATCAGGGTTTAAAGGTACACCGTCTAATGAGTGAAACAGGCAATAAAACTGTCACATGCCACCTTTTGTATAAATACTGACAGGCTTAATATCTTAAATCAATGCCGACAAAGGAGTCCTGACAGATAAGATCAAGCTAATTTCAGGCTGCAGGGGCGAAATGATTAAGCTGTCAATAGCACCATAGGCTAGGTAAGCGCAGAAAGGCGAGGATTTGGCAATTATCTGCGGCCTAGCAGACAGTTTCATCTGAGCCTTAGTCGCTTTGCAGATGATAAATGCGTTTCATTGCAGAAGTTCCACTGCGATGAGGAAATAAGTGAAGGATTCGACAGGAAAATTATTCCCTGTAGAGTTTCACAAATAACAAAGTGATACCATCTAAATAAAGCATTCTTTCTGACTGACAGATCACTTGGGAATAAGCTTCTTGCTATTCCTCTTTGCTTTAGGCTAACCCTCCTCCTCCTCCTCCTCGTGTTTTCTTAAGTCGTCGTCAACCCTGAACAGTTTTGTTCTGAGCTTGTTTCACTTCACATACCTTGAGTTTAATAGCCACCGGGCACCTCGACCCCCTTTCTATCAGTCTGTCATTGGTTAATTAGTCGATTCTTGTGTCCTGATTGCCACTTCTCTGGCACAAAATGAAGAGAGACAAGGTGCAGGGCTCGGAGAAATTTAGATGTAAATTTGCCCTCCAACATACAATATCAGTCCAAGGTGACGCCCTTAACTTATTACCTACTTTCAATCAATACTTTGAAATGGCGAGCTAGATGATTCTACATGCAGAACAGCTGCAAGTTTCAGTGTCAAGGTCTTTGAATGGCTTTTCAAAAAAACGCATTGATCGCCCCTCGGTTTGTCATCTGACGATCCTTTGCTGCATGAAATAATGTTTTCTGTGGAAATGCCAAGGGTGAAAACTCCAGCAGGGGCTCAAACAGTCCTGTGTACACTGAGAGGAGTCCCTTCCTTTCACATCTTTAACAAGCTCGGGGACTACAAGCCATATGAAAAAGAGGGGGGTGGGGGGGTAGCCACAAATACACTCTCTTAGTTCCCCAGCACCAATTAGAAAGCTATCACTATGCAAGCTTAATGGTGGAGAGAGACCATGGGGGAAAAACAAGTTGTTTTAAGATATAGAATATGATAAAAGCTGTTCATTATGAGCATAAATTATACATCAAGTACCAGTGTGAAGCATGTGGGACTCATGGCTTCCTCTCCAGGGCAAAACAAGCCAGTGTCACTTTGTAAAGACAATAAAATGAAGATAGCGCAATTTACAACCAACCTAAGGAATAATAATATCATTAGCTACTGGGGGATTATGTTTTAAGTGTTTTTAGGGGCTTTGCTGACTGCTCCACTTTGAGATCGTTTGATGAAGCAATCATTTGAAAGCGGGAGAGTGAATGTGCAAGAGCCCGATCTCTACATAGCACAATGAGACTGCAAACACAAGGGATTGCCGTTAAAAAGAGACATGTCACAATATGAAGACGTGAGTAAACGAGACACACATCCAGGCTTACTTGGACTAAAAGACTTCTCGATTCAGGTCAAACTGATCCACCTATTCGTCATGTCCGGTGTCTTTTAAGGCCCAGATACACCGGCCAGTCACCTGAGATGTCGCCGACGCCGACACCGACTGTTGCGTCGCCGGACTCTCCTGCGTATTTGCCGACTTCGCGCACTGGAACACACCGCAAATCCGAGCCGAGCATGTATGAACTGCGCATGCGTGAGTGGCAATAACTCTCCTTACCAGCAGGCGGCGGTAGTGTGTATTCATCATTCAAAAGAGGCAACAACCCGGAAAACAGAGAAGAAGAACAGACTCCGTGATATAAACAAACAACAAATAGCGTTTTTCTTTCCATTTTCACTCTCGTCCATTGAAAACATGAACGAACAGGAGCTCTATAAACCGATGAGGTGAAATAGCCGTCCGTGTGTGTTCCATCTTCCATTTTAAATCATTTGTTTATCTCCCTCACTTCCGTTAACGCTTCTCATGCACTGATTCGCTAGCTGAACAGCCAATCAGTGTTATCCCTTTGTCCGACTTCCGGTGGTGTTCCCGACGCCGATTCAACATGTTGAATCGGCAAGAAAAGGCGTCAGGTCGGCAGAAAAGACCCGACGGTGCGGCGCACACCACTCCGAATAGGGCGTGCCCACGCTCATGTTCGGCCCGACTCCCATTTACTGCCGATTTCGGGCCGGTGTATCTGGGCCTTTAGAGTTTAGGGTTGGGGTTATCTAACCCACACACACACACACCGGCTCTGCTGGCGGCAAATTCAATTACAACAGACACCTATACACTCCACAACAGACACCTACTGACTGTACAACACACACATACAGCTCCTAAAGCATATCATGTATATCAGGCTACAGCCCTTGTATATTTTATTATGTGAAGCACTATATGGTGTCATGAAAAATATCTACTGTTTACTTGTAGATATCTACTAAAGCATACAAATAAAGTGTGTAATGTAGGCCTGTTACATATATTATTGCTGTTCTCACTGTAAACATCGCCTCACAATGAAAGCAGTTGTATTAAAATAAATAGCCTAACATCCAGGGGAGATGTGATTAGTGAGTAAACAAACGGTAAAGGGCAGAAAGTCTGATGCACATTTGATCATCTTGAATAACTTATAATCACAACGGGAACAGTTTGCAGAGCTGTNATTAAGTAGAATCGTACTCTATAGGGGGCTTCACACCAAGTACTTTCCCACAAAGGTTCCTGAGAACTCTTAGTTCTCGTGAACTAAGTACAGATCGCGTTCACACCGGAAATTAGTTCCTGGGGGTGGATTAGGCAAATGAAGCCTCTGACGTCACTTCTTCTTCTTCTGCTTTGGGTTTACTGGCAGGCCGCAAACAACTTCACGGCGTATACTGCCGCCCAAAATCCCCGGCCGGAAGTCCGCGGAGTTAGGACTGGCTTCAGTCGAAGCTGCTGGGACTTCCAGCAGCTTCTACTGAAGCCTTCCGATTAAACGGCCAGAACGCCGACACCTCCTCATCTCCACCGCTCCCATCTTTTATTTTGTGTTGTCATAAGTTAGTCTCTCTGCATTTCTGCGCTGGGCTAATGCTAATAATGCAATGCGAGGATAATAAAATGGCGGCTTCACAAAAGTTTTTGGGAGTTTGACGGGGCCTGGTTTGCATTCCGCCCAGCCAATCAGACACAGGAACCTTTTTCTCCCACGAAAGTCCCTGCTCTCTAGCAGGGACTGAAAAGGGGGTAAAAAAGGTTCTCGATAACTAATTTAGACTTTTTGGTGTGAACGCATCTA